TCCCCCCCCCCCCCCCCCCCCCCGTGCTATGGTAATTGTAACAAACATGCTAGATGAGTAATGTTGTTTTTTTTTTCATAGGAGGGGAAAGCCCTGATGATAAACATATATCTTTGTGCAGAAACAGGACAGGGTTAACCAATATTATCAGTAGCATGTCCTTTGCAGAACCTTGCTCTCATAAAAAAACTCCAGAAAACGCATCAAAAGCAACATGTCCCACGTCCGTTATACCCATCTAGAGAACATCCACCACACCCTGCACCCATCTTCTCTTTGGCCTTCCTCTTACTCTCTTTCCAGGTATATACCCTTGCATTATTGTTCTCTCAAAAATTTTGTGACGTTCAAAGTTACCAAAATGTTTCACTGTTCTGTGTTTTATCGTCTTTAATAGCCAACCTTCTTCAATATTCAGTTCCTGAAGAATGGACGCATTTGTTCTTTTCTTTACTCATGATATTCTTAGAACCCATCTACAACGTTTGTATTTAAAGGCATTTACAATATCTTATTTCACGAAAATAATTAACTTGTCCGTTATTCTTAGTGCAGTGGCAGAATTCATACACATAAATGTGTGCAGGTGTGGGAGGTTGTCTTTACTGTGCCCGTACTATGAATATTTTCTGTGCTGAAATAATCTCACACAACCGATTTCACAGATAAAGACCGATTGAAACGATTCATTATGTATGCTTTCTTTGTGGGACTATCTAATCACATTTTACAATATTCTGAATTTAAATTACACTGGAGTTAATACATACAAACCAGTATGCTTTTGCATAAGTAGGGAGTATCAACAATTTGGTCTGGGACTGTATGCATAATGACATTATTGCACTTAAGTGCCCTGAGTTCTGTCTCTTGTATACCAAATACTGATCTCTTCTAACTCTATTCTAGATATAAGTATTGGGCTAATTTACCATGTCACCACCCAACCGGTAGTCATGTCACAGACTGCCAGATTAACTGTTTATCCATTGAGAACAAACACAGTGTGGCCTCCCTGGAAGCCACTGCTGTCTCCCCAGTTGCTACAGGCAATATTTGTCTTCTCTTTATCCCCCAAAACAGCATTGGCCCTCGACCAACTCATGCTAAGTTGTCTTATCTGTTGCTATCAGATGCAGCTCATCCTATCTTTTTAGCTTACTCTCTAGTTCTAATATCATTGTTTTATTTTTCACATGCCTTGATTTATATGCACCTACCTGCTCCAGGGTCAAGACATTCTAATCAAACTGCTCTTATATTTTCTCAATGTGTGTCCTATCCAACACAAATAATCTTTTCTGAACATCATGGCTCATTAGAATTTGTCCAGTTTTCTCTTAAAGCTCTATGTTAGTGATTCTATTTAACTGAATTCTCAGACATTGATATTATTCAGGCAACAGATATATGTGGACAGCACAGTAAGAGAAGTGGCAAACATACCTGTCTAGTGAGAAGTGGCAAACATACCTGTCTAGTGAGAAGTGGCAAACATACCTGTCTAGTGAGAAGTGGCAAACATACCTGTCTAGTGAGAAGTGGCAAACATACCTGTCTAGTGAGAAGTGGCAAACATACCTGTCTAGTGAGAAGTGGCAAACATACCTGTCTAGTGAGAAGTGGCAAACATACCTGTCTAGTGAGAAGTGGCAAACATACCTGTCTAGTGAGAAGTGGCAAACATACCTGTCTAGTGAGAAGTGGCAAACATACCTGTCTAGTGAGAAGTGGCAAACATACCTGTCTAGTGAGAAGTGGCAAACATACCTGTCTAGTAGTCACAGGTTTAAATCCCGACTTCCCTGTGTGGGTTCCGGGACCCCCCAGTAACAAAAACAATAACAGACCCACTGCTGGACAAGAAGCATGTTACAAGAGTTAACTAAGTGGGAGCTTCTTTCAGAGCTGGAGTGCATCTGCCTTAGAGGCAAGCAACCAACAATCTACATAAAACAGGACAGATCTGTAAAACAGATGTGCACGCAACACTCAGATTCTGGAACATGACTAAAGTCCAGAGGTGGACGAGTAAACAGAAGCTTCTGCCAAAGTTAAACGCAAAGAAGAAATCCCTACTGCCCTGCAATTTTTTTAAACACGAAAACGGGCTTCCCGTTCGATCGAGCCTAAAAAGAATAATTGGAAGGTAAACCAGGGAGGTAAACATGACCTGGGCAATTCTGATCACATTAGCTGGTAAGTGCCATCTGATCAATATATAAAAATATTACACTGGCACTATATGCTCATTTCTGCTGCACTCACTCTTAAAAGGGAGGTTTGCTAGGCTGCGATATATATGCCTTCTAAGCATACACATCCAACACATCCAAGTGGGGAAAACTGTCTCCGTGAATGGAAACATAATCGTCCTACTTGGCATGCACTACCACTCTGACCTCTTGCCATGTTATACTGGATGGCTTTTCTTGTGTGATCTGGGACTCTATTTTGTATGAAAAAATAAGATCCTCTGCTCCCAAAACTAGCAAGTGGTAAAAGGCCACTCATTAGAGCTTGCTAAATTCAGATGTGCTAGGCAGAAAGGAGCATATATCGCAGTCTAACTGTTAAAAACAACACTACATGTCAATTACCCCTTTAAGAGAGAGTAAAGAAGAAAACCAACCTGCTAAATATTCCTTCTAAGTTGTTTACTATTTAAAATGGTTTTCAAAGGTCAACAACGAGCTCCCTGCACCTGAGAATTTTACAGATTCTCATGCAGCAAAAGGAGTCCCGTCAACACAGAAACAAACAATCACATGCTATTGCAAATAAGTAAACTGATCCCAGTTCTACTAAATGACATCAATAAGGAGAAAAGGTCACCAGAGCTGTCCCCAGTGTGACCATATTCTAAAGCTGTCCCCAGTGTGACCATATTCTAAAGCTGTCCTCAGTGTGACTAAAAACCAGAGCTGTCCCCATGTGTGACCATATTCTAGAGCTGTCCCCAAGTGTGACCATATTGTAGAGCTGTCACCACGTGTGACCATATTCTAAAGCTGTCACCACGTGTGACCATATTCTAGAGCTGTCCCCACGTGTGACCATATTCTGGAGCTGTCACCACGTGTGACCATATTCTAGAGCTGTCACCACGTGTGACCATATTCTAGAGCTGTCACCAAGTGTGACCATATTCTAGAGCTGTCCCCATTTGTGACCATATTCTAGAGCTGTCACCACATGTGACCATATTCTAGAGCTGTTCCCATTTGTGACCATATTTTAAAGCTGTCCCCACATGTGACCATATTCTAAAGCTGTCCCCACATGTGACCATATTCTAAAGCTGTCCCCACATGTGACCAAATTCTAGAGCTGTCACCATTTGTGACTAAAAACCAGAGCTGTCCCCATTTGTGACCATATTCTAGAGCTGTCCCCATTTGTGACCATATTCTAGAGCTGTGCCCATTTGTGACCATATTCTAGAGCTGTCCCCATTTGTGACCATATTCTAGAGCTGTCACTATTTGTGACTATATTCTAGAGCTGTCACTATTTGTGACCATATTCTAGAGCTGTCCCCACATGTGACCATATTCTAAAGCTGTCCCCAGTGTGACCATATTCTAAAGCTGTCCTCAGTGTGACTAAAAACCAGAGCTGTCCCCATGTGTGACCATATTCTAGAGCTGTCCCCAAGTGTGACCATATTGTAGAGCTGTCACCACGTGTGACCATATTCTAAAGCTGTCACCACGTGTGACCATATTCTAGAGCTGTCCCCACGTGTGACCATATTCTGGAGCTGTCACCACGTGTGACCATATTCTAGAGCTGTCACCACGTGTGACCATATTCTAGAGCTGTCACCAAGTGTGGCCATATTCTAGAGCTGTCCCCATTTGTGACCATATTCTAGAGCTGTCACCACATGTGACCATATTCTAGAGCTGTTCCCATTTGTGACCATATTTTAAAGCTGTCCCCACATGTGACCATATTCTAAAGCTGTCCCCACATGTGACCATATTCTAAAGCTGTCCCCACATGTGACCAAATTCTAGAGCTGTCACCATTTGTGACTAAAAACCAGAGCTGTCCCCATTTGTGACCATATTCTAGAGCTGTCCCCATTTGTGACCATATTCTAGAGCTGTGCCCATTTGTGACCATATTCTAGAGCTGTCCCCATTTGTGACCATATTCTAGAGCTGTCACTATTTGTGACTATATTCTAGAGCTGTCACTATTTGTGACCATATTCTAGAGCTGTCCCCACATGTGACCATATTCTAGAGCTGTCACCACGTGTGACCATATTCTAGAGCTGTCCCCATTTGTGACCATATTCTAGAGCTGTCCCCACATGTGACCATATTCTAGAGCTGTCCCCACATGTGACCATATTCTAGAGCTGTCCCCACATGTGACCATATTCTAGAGATGTCACCATGTGTGACCATATTCTAGAGCTGTCCCCACATGTGACCATATTCTAGAGCTGTCCCCACATGTGACCATATTCTAGAGATGTCACCATGTGTGACCATATTCTAGAGCTGTCACCACGTGTGACCATATTCTAGAGCTGTCATCATGTGTGACCATATTCTAGAGCTGTCACCATGTGTGACCATATTCTAGAGCTGTCCCCATTTGTGACCATATTCTAGAGCTGTCACCATGTGTGACTCTCGACATGTGTAAATCCCACATAGAGCTTTCACCCTTTGTGAATATTAAAGCTGGCAATATGTGTGAAGCCCCAAATAGAGTTATCATCATGTGTGAGCCCCAACTGATATCAACATGTGTGACCATCTAACTAGAGATGACGCAGAGTGTGAGCTCCCAGAGAAGTTGTCACCATGTATGGTGCCCCCACCCCTTCCCCTAGTTGTCACCAAACATATGCTTCTTACTAAAATTGTCACCAAGTTTGATTAAAACACTAATTCTTTAAAAATTAGCCAGAAATGGGAAAGGGACAAGTCTCTAAATACTGAAAAAGAAAAAGGTAATACGTTTAGAAGGATACTTACTTTCTGCGGCTTTGCTTTCCTTTTCGTGAATATGCTTACATCCTCATGGACTCTGTCCAAAAGCCACAATAAAAATTCCTGAGCATCATGTTGATCATCTCCCTCATACTGACTGTTGAATTTGGCAACAACTGCTTTAAATCCTTCCGACACTTCCCTGGTATACTTTCCAGACCACAAACATTTCAAGAAATGCCCAAGCTGTTCTGTGACTTTGCCATGTGAAGAGCGAAAAACACCTTTCTTTCCAGCAGCACCATTTTTCAAATCATTTTTGTAAAAATCTCTTACAAAATATTCAGTGAAGGAATCTGTATTGCTCAAGCACTGAAGTATGGCATTCATAAAACAATTATTACCATGGTTGTAGATTCCAACTGTACCGGGTGTTCTTTTCCACATGGTAACTGGCATTCCAATATGAGAATTTGTAATTAAAGGTCGAGCAGTTGACAGTGTACCACTGTATGGAAGATCGTTGGATTTTGATTTACTGCTTGCTTTATCTCCAAGGTGTCTAAGATCTGGAGTCCACACTTTTACCAGGTCATTAGTTTGGTTGGACTTTTCGTATCTTTTATTAACTGCCATGTCTGCTAACTTAGATTCTTTCACAAATACCCGACTTACAGCTCTGCGCATGGATTTCAGAGTTAACCCTTTACGTCCTGATAATGCAGAACTCCCGGAGCTAAGCTTGCTATCACTGTCAAAAGTATCGTCGCTCTGGTTTAAATTACTGGCGCTGCCGTGTACCGTCATGTGTGTCCTACCCACACTCCTTCTGTGTCCATCTGTACAATTACGATCATTAAGATTAACGAACAAAGTACCACATAGTCCTTCATTAGCATCGTCTAAATCCAGAACGTCGTCATAAGATGAGGATCTGGGTCTTCCTCCAGGTATGATCGGGTGCTTCTGAGGCATCATGGATTCAGTTCAGTTTAATTGAAATTTCAATTATTGTGATGTGTTGTTATGATTAAACCATGTTGAAGATATATTAATTATTATTGCCGTTGAAAACGAAACAACAATGCAAAGTTACGTCGGTAACACTATATAAAGAAATTATACCCAAAAAACACCACGCTCGATGAATCAACAAGAGGTGTCCCTGAAACTACACAGAATTTAAATCCACAACATCGCTGTGTCGCCAGCCTCCTGTCCCCTGCCGTCAACTGTTTACTACAGGGACACGCTGGCCACATACTACAAACACGGTAGTTCATATTTATTTCTTGAAAAATATAATATTTATTTTTCTTAACACGTTATCACACTTTAAATATTTTCATTAAAATATATTATGATACATTAATGTAGCTATTATTATTAAAAGATTGTGTGCGGGTAAAAAATATTCACGATTCAATTGTCAACCACAGCTGAAAGTTTTCAAGTGCAATTTGGCCTAACAAACTGTAGCCGTGATAGTTGGGGACACGCCTCGTCAGCTGACGTCTTACTCGCTTGTCGTTTTACATTGTTGATGGCCTGTAGCCAGCCCAGTGTCGCTCGTAGCTTTTCTGTATTTTATTTGACCTGTGCTTCTCGGGTGGCTGGGCAGGCAAGAGGCAGACAGCGATACAAGTAGGTGGGTGATATGAGATGGGCGAACAATCTGAGAGCATGTATGTCCAGGGCGTGTTGGAGATCCGTTGCAGCCGACCTGTATTGTAGAAACGGCACCTGATTAATTATTTGATTCTAGAGTGGTTGAGCGATGGATTGCCAAGCGGTAACAAGTGTGGAAAAATGTCTTGTCTCTCCCCCTCTCCCACCCCCCCCCCCCCCTAAAATATGTCTGTTTTAAACACATTTTGTTCCATATTGTCACCCCATTCCCCCTCCCCTTTTTTAGTTCATATGTAACTGGGTTTGTTCTTCTTTGTGTGTGGTGTGTGTGTTTTTTTTTCCCGGATTCCCATCTGAGATAGAGTGATTGAGAAGAAAAGAACCAATACTAATAATAATAAATTCTAGAAAAATTTGAGGTTTGGGGGGGGGTGGGAGTTAAACTGCCTGGGATGTCCCGTTTTCAGCTAAAAATGGTGTGTGATGTCCCGTTTTCAGCTCATGAAATTATGGACACCAAATGGCTATTGGCTAAGAACTCACACAGAGCTGGAGTGAGTGATGTTCACCCCACCAGGACCGCACAATGAGCGATCAACACCCATTGACACAAAATGCCACCATTCGGATGAGAATCCTATATGCACAAATCCCCGAAACCCCGTTCAACCGTTAGGTTATAGTTGGGCCTCCAACCGGGGTGGGTGGGGCTTTAAAATAACGAAAAACTGCAACCCATATTGTGACGAGGTAATGTACTGCATGTTAGAGCTGGAGAATTGGCGTGTCCTGGAGAGAGCGACGTTCTCTACAGAACATGCTGTTTGATTAGTGGACAAACCACATCGTCTTTTAATGACGTCTTCGTGCTAAATATAGACTTTTTCGCGGGGTTTTCGGTGGCAATGGGTTCACAGCAGGGTTGCTATATTGGCTTATTCTAAGCCAGATTCCACGAATCTGATTTATTTAAAATTGAACTAGCTTGTCAAAGAGCTGGCTTATTTTGGCTTGTTTGGGTTCTTTTTTTATGGCTTTTCTACACAAGCCGTGCTCACACCTTCTTCATGGATCCTCCGTGAGAAACACACTAATTTAACAACAGCAATTTAGACCTACAGTTAACATCTTTATTTCGGTTTATCTTTGGTTGTGATGTCCTGCTACAGCTGGTACACGGACTCAATGAGATTCGCGCCATCTCTTAATGTATGAACAAACAGCATGTGTATGAATATGTTTTCCTAAACGGATCGTGACTGCGATAAACCAAGGCCCTCTGTAATTTACCTGTAATAAAGCAGGTCATGGATAAATCATCGTACATTCACACTTCATGCAGTACGAAGTCACGTCGACTAGAAGACTTATCTGTGATGGTGGTGGGAGTTTACTCGGAGAGAATGTTAATTTACTAGAATAAAAGCGGGATAACAAACCAAAACCCACCACTGATACCAAGTGATTCAGACTGTTCAAAAACTACCTGAGGATATAAAGTAGAGATGACATAGACATAGTTCCAACTGCGTTATTACTTTTAGCAATGCCCATGTCATCAAAAACAAACAAACAAACAAACAAAAAAAGCGGAAAGCATCTTATGACAGCAATCGCAAGTATAATAGTACTTAAAAAAAACATACCATGGCTCAACAAATCTTTGGACGAATCAGAGGCAGCATATTGTAAACTATGTCAGTGCACTATTGTACCAAGAATTAGAAACATAAAAATATGAAAAATCTGGAAAAACACCGCTTGAAAACTCCATCAAAAAGCCAGTCGTCATTATCATCAGGTGCCTTGCCGACTGGAAGTAGGCGATCATGTCTCTCCACAATCTGCAATTCCCTGCATCATGTATCAGTTCGTGTACTGACACACCTCCATGACATGCAACAAGACTGTCAAGAATCTTTTATCGTTATCTTCCTCTATCCCTCCTTCCACAGATCTTTCCAGTGGTCACAATCTGTTCAATTTTCCCTCATCTCATAACATGGCCGGAAAGTGAGGACTGTCTCCTTTTGATGTCTGTGATAAGTTGTCTTCGGGCTCCCGCCTCTTTCAAAACCTCTTGGCTACTCTTTTTGGCTGTCCAATGTTTTCTAAGCATTCTTCTGTAAAACCACATCTCTGAGGACTCAAGAAATTGTCTGGCCTGCCTACCGATTGTCCAGGACTAACTACCATATGTTAAAACTGGATGTATGTAGCAAGCAAGAATTCTTTTTCTAACCTTCAATGACTGAGATATATTGCTTAAGATGTTCTTCATTTTATAAAATTAAATTTTTGCATGTCATATTCTGTTTCTAATCTCGGCGATGCATCTTCCATCAGATGTTATCCATGTGCCCAGATACTTAAATTTCAGTATTTGTCCTTCTTCTTCTTCTTTCGTTCGCCAGTATTTGTCCTAAAATAACACCATTGACTTTTATTACACATTTTGGAAAAATTCTTTTCTTTGGTTCCACCATTACTTTTGTTTCTCTATTATTCAAACTGAGGCCCATTCTTCCACTTTCTACCACACAATGTCTATCATTTCATGTGACCTAGGCATGATCAGTCACGAAGAAGAATGGACGAATACACCAGTAGACATGCATGGCATCTCTAAGGTTGTCATCACACTCGGAAAGTACTACAGGGATCAAATTCCTGCGGTCGTAGACATATAGGTAAGGGAACTGATGGACCAGCATTCAGACCCAAAAGATATCATCATCTATACACATGGATCCGTTAAGCGCGAATCAACGCTGGGCATACACAGCGCAAAGAAGGGGGAAAACAATACCTGAGGACAGCGGCGCTTACCAGACAACCACGTCAAGCATGACCATGGAAATAGCCACTGCTTCTAGAGCATTTGCATGTTTATCTGAACAAACCGCCACACAGGCAGTAATTGTATCAGACTCCATGAATATGCTTCAGAAGATAGCAATAGGCGGTATGCGCTCTGAATAGGTAGAAAGCATCCGAAAATTGCACTTAGCCTTTCTCATCTGGATCTACACACCTCGGCATGCGAGTGTAAAGGGAAATGAGCGAGCGGACCAGTTGGCAGGCATTGTACTAGGGCATGTGGGAAGAAGCAGGGACAGAGCAGATATTGTCAACGCTGGACTGGTGGATAATGTGGAATCCCTGACACTAGCACAATTGCGTGACATGGGAGTGAGACATGGTGAAACACGTCTATGCCGTCTTCGAGGTCGAGATAGGAGACAATATAACCAGCTTCTCATGGGAAAATTAGTGGAAGTACTTTGGAATGGCTGCTGCATCGGAGGACTGAGCACGCATGGGAGTGCCCAATGTGCAGTGACGTCAATTGTGATAACATAACATTTCCTGTAGTTCTTTCTGACTTGTTGCTATCATGACTGTATCATCAGCATAACGTAAATTGTTTATTTTATGCCCACCAACCACAATTCCGGGCATATCAAGTAAAAATATTATTAAATATTCACTGAATAATAAAAATAAATCAGGTGACAGTACACATTTTTGTCGCACGCATCTCTTTATGCACTGAAATATACCTAAACAGTTGTTAATTCATTCTTATAGCTGCTGTTTGCTGCCGATACACATTTTTTATTATTCGTAGATATTTTCCATCAATGTTTAATTTTTCCAACAGTTTCATTACTTCTTCATGTTTCACACGGGCAAATTCTTTTGTATAGTCTATGAAGAATAAGAACAAGTCAATCTCTGCTTCTATAACTCTTTCTGGCAATGCCCTTAGGATGTATATGGCATTGTTTGTACCTTTTCCTTCTGCAAATTCATATTGTTCATCGCTGATTTCTGGTGTAATTGTGTTTCTTATCCTCCTTATAATTATTCTAAGTAACATCTTAGGCAAAGTAATGATAAAGTTAAGCCAGTACAGTTGCAAATCGCATGACTGCCTTGTGCAATACGCACAATTAATTATCTAAGTGACACAATACAGTTGCATAGAACTAAATGTTCATGCCTAATTTTAAAAAAAAATACACGTTATCTCGCCTTCACTTAAGGCTTAAAATGTTTACGCTGCATCTTCCACTTGTTCCACCCACTGATGATGACATATAATCTAGAGCTTTTGATGTGACGTGAGTACACTGTTGCATTTTATTCGGCTTTGGCTTCAGGTAAGGGTCAGATGATGTAAGGGGAAAAATCGTGGATGGCTCAAGCAGTAGACATTATTAGACAAGTATGCATACTGGAGAACATAGGGCGAGGAGAGGAGTGGGTCAGAGTGCCAAAGGAAAAGTCTGACCTGTGTAGGGTTATGAACACATTGGGCCGGGAGTGCAGAGTGGCCAGCGTGCTTCGAGCAGAGTGACAAGCTTCACTGGGAAGGTCACGGGTGGTGAGCATACTTTGAATCCCTTCTCCATGCTATGTCGGCGTGGTGGGTAAAGAACAGGCAGGCAGATTGGCTGGATCTGCACCACTGTGTGATGAATTGATATATGACAAGGCAGATGTGGTTAAGGCACTTTGTGAACAAGTTACGGAGTTATTAGAGAAAGAAGATTATTATGGCCTGGAGAGAATAAGGCACCTGAGTGTAATCAGAGGGTCTGGCCGGCTCACTATACTCAGAGGAAAGGCAAGACGGAAATTTAACCAGATTGTGACCTGTACCATCAAGACTGGAACTATGCGCTGGCTGCCGAAGATGAGGACGCAGCACGCATGGAAATGCCCGAGTGCTGTGATGTCAATTTTTGGCATACTATTTTTTGGCTTTTTCTGGCTTAAAGTTTGGCTTAAAATGGAGTTTTTAAAAAATTTATTTGGCAACCCTGGTTCACAGCTGGTTTTGATGAAAACAGAAGGCCGAAGAAGACAACAGAAGGTTGGTAAAGAAAACAGAAGGTTGGTGAAAAAACAGAAGATATCTTAGATGTTGCTTGCTGTTAATATTTATATATAGAATGAGTTTAGCCAAGTTTCCTGTGGCTGTCATCTGCCAGTGGAGGTGGTAGTTATTGACGAAAACCGAAGGTTGGTAAAGAAAACAGAAGGTTGGTAAAGAAAACAGAAGGTTGGTAAAGAAAACAGAAGGTTGGTAAAGAAAATAGAAGGTTTGTAAAGAAAACAGAAGGTTGGTAAAGAAAACAGAAGGTTTGTAAAGAAAACCGAAGGTTGGTAAAGAAAACAGAAGGTTTGTAAAGAAAACAGAAGGTTGGTAAAGAAAACAGAAGGTTGGTAAAGAAAACAGAAGGTTGGTAAAGAAAACAGAAGCTAACTTGCCTTATGTTGCTTGTTAAATTGGTTATATAGAATGGGTTTTTGGTGGCTGTCGTTTGCTAGTGGAGGTGATAGTTTAATCTAATTTGTTGATTTTTGTTGTTGGTGATGAAAACAGAAGGTTGGTGAAAAATGCAGAAAGTATCTTAATTTCATTTGTTGCTTGTTTTGTTAATGTAAGATGCGTTTTCAGTGGCTGTCGACTGCCAGTGTATTCCGTTTGCAGATGGTGGTTGCTGAAAACAGAAAATTAAAATATTTGTTTCTCTGACTTTTGATTTTTAACTTCAAATTTAAAAAAAAGTTATTTAAAAAAAAAGGATTTCAGCATCCTCGCTGGTACAACAGAGTTCGTAGGAAAGAAATAAAACCCAACGAAAAGTATTTCAGCGAGCTTCACAATATAACAGCCAGGTCGAATTCAAGTGACAGAGTTTGTGCACTGAGCTGAGATTTTTCAGACTCAAGCTTGTGTTAGAAGAAGAACGGAGCACTTATGGGTTACACCCCTGTGCGGCACAGTGTGCAATGATGTTGATCCCTTGAATAAGCATAAACATTAAACAATAAACTGACTTTTTGCTTTGTTATTTGAAAGATGGTTATACTTATAGTTAACAAAATCAAGGTAATCATTGGTTTGGTAGCTTCGTCATATAATATATCACAGTGCGGTAGAATGTTTTGTATAAACCTAAAACCTAATATTGTATATCAGACATTCTTTTTTTTTTCAAGTTAATTATGCATATTTTACAGTTTTTATGTTTGCTCAACTCTTTCAGGCCATGAATTTTGACAGACTTGGCTCGCATTTATTTCCCTTTCCAAAAATGGCAGAGGGGTTGGTGTAACAAAAAACGCAATCGAGAATATATTTCCAATCCCTATCCAAGTGTATATTTTTTAAAAGAATAATGAATATATATTTTGAATCTGAATGATGTTTAAATTTTTAATACTGTTATAATTAGTTAAAAAAAAAAAAAGAATTTTGTAAAATAATAACTCACTTACCATGGGTTTGCAGCCTCAGGAGCAGTGAATATCCACATTTGAGAATAAGATTTCAAAGTTTATTTAATTTCGTAACAAACTCAAAAGTTATGATAAGTTTCTGGGTTACTTTATAACTCAGAGGCTCTAGGCTCGTAAAGGATGCTGAACAAAATTTGAAAGCAAAAATGGCAGAAAACTGGACCGCTGCACACAAAATATTAATCTTGCACAATTATATACAGAATATATCAGTAATGATTTCAGTGCAGCTTAGCCATAGTATGGTACTGTTTAAAACAGTCCTGTGAATGCAAATGTGGCCGACTGTCAAATACTTGGCACATAAAATGGAGTGTAATGAATTTAACTTTCATTGCCTTTTTGATAAGACAAGAAGTAAATGCACAAGTAACGCCATTGCAACTTCTGACGAAACTTGGCAGCACACAGATTCAGTAGGGCGTGTTGAAAATTTCAGCTCCATTAGGGAAGGGCCTGAACCCTCGACCTTCACATCTGCAGGGTAGCATCTAGTCGCTACACCCCGGTGGCTCCTCCTACATACCTATACTCACAAAAATTCCTCTGAGAAAAAAACTAGTAGTAGGGAGCCGTAGTTGTGTTGTAGCTAGATGATCACTTTCTGGTGTGAAGATCTTGGATTTAAATGGATTAAGTGACTCTCAACCTTCCTAATGCCGCGACCTTTTAATGGAGTGCCCTCATGTTGATAACTTCAATGAATATGTATTTTATCATGGTGTTAGGCAACCCGTGTGAAAGGGTCGTTTGACCCAAAAAAGGGTTGCGACCGACAGGTTGAGAACAGCTGATCTAGACAGATGGTTTTCTCTAAAACTGGCCTGAGCTTTCAGGTAAACCCAACCTAACCTGGGTAGAAGGTAATGTCCTGGAAGGTAAAGGCGGCCGGCATGATGTTGACCACATCACCCATTTAGAGCTGCTGAATCTTCTTCTTTTTCTTCTTCTGCTTCTCAGCCTCCACTGGCCATAAACTCCAGCCAAAAATTCTGGTTGTTCATCCATTTCTGGACTTTGGTCCTGTTCCAGAACTTTAGTTGTGCATGCACATTCATTTAAAAAAAATAAATGATCCTTTTCCATGCATTTAGGTGTTTTGGGAATATAGGGCTAGACGTCTATTTTTATAGAACAATCGGCACTTGGTGGGTGATGTGGTCAGCATCATGCCGGCTGCCTTTACCTCCCAGGACTGCACCTGGTACCCACTCAAGGCTGGGTCGATCTGGCAGTCAATGTCATTTTTTAAGAAAAAAAATCTGGCTTTGTCAGGACTCGAACCCATGACCTTCCAGTCTGAAGGCGGGTGTCTGGCTGCCAACACTGTGGTGACTCCCCATTTATTTTAAAGATCTGTCTAATTAATATTCAGACTACTGGTTCCTCGCCTTGCAGGCAGAAGCACTCTGACTTCAGAGTAAACTCCCCTTATTAGTCACCTTGTATGACACACTTGTTGGGGGTGGGGGGCAGTGGATCTGTTCTTTTTGCCCCCAAAATGGAGCCCTGAACCCACACTGGGACACAGTTGTCAATGATTGTACATAAAATTGAATCTTTTTTTTTATGTCTCTATATAGCAGTCTGTTTCAGAAAGATCGGAGTCGAGAAAATGAAGTCACTACTAACAACCATCCCATGTACAGGAAAGGTTCTAGAATTTATTGTGACTTCTCCTATTGGGGACATAAAGATATCCAGTTGCCAGGCTGGACTACATGCTGTTCATCCTTGTGGTAAAGATGATAGTACATTTTCAGCAGATGTCGGGTTTGTACGGAGATATATTCTCAGTTTATATTTTTTGTCTTCCATTTTTTTTTTTTTTTGGGGCGTTCACCGGCTGTGAATTCCGGCGGAAATTTCCGGTTAATCGTCCGCTTGGACTTTTGGCTTTCACCCGGACCGGATTTTTGCGTGTACAACCGTTTTAATGTTCCCTGCCTCATGGGCAGCTGTACTCCGACTTCGAAGGAATTTTGTCTTCCATGGTAACTGTCACTACTGTCTGTTTTACCATCTTTTAGGGTTGTGTAAACAGGGAGGTTGTGAACTTGAGGGTTTAACGCCACAGACTGTGCAGGTTAGGATGTTTAATTTTGCTCCCAACAGAAAATCTCCATCGCCTTACGGGGGGTTGAACCCGGGTCTCTGGCATGAGAGCCTGACATTATCACCACTCGGCCAGCTGCTCCTCCATGTTAACAGACATCCTTAATCAGATTCAGCTGTGTGAGTTCTGGGGCTCAGTTTTGGAGAACGAAGAATAGACATCCCCTCTCCACTAGCAAGCAGTTGCAGAAGCTGACTAATTAGGGGTGTTTCCTTCCAAATCAGACTGCATCTGCCTGAGAGGCAATCAACCAACAGTTTGCATACATATAAGCCAGGTCTGTAAAATGGATGTGCGTGCAAAACTCAGTGGGGGTTATGGTCAGTATCACATTAACTGCCTTTACTTCCCGTAACATTTTCTGATAACCATTTGTATGCTCTTCCCGAGTTTTTTTTTCTTTCCAATATTTGCATCAGTGAAGATTCAGGCTTGTGACCACTGGGCTGGTGAGTAAGTGTGATAGCCATTGCGCCACCTTAGCTTCTAACAGCAATCATTACTTAAGTATTTCCCATGTGGGTTCCAAGACTCCATTTTGGGGAAAAGGGAATAAACCCACTGCCCCCCTTAACAAGCATGTCCTAAAAGTAGACTAATTAGGGGTGATTCTTTCAAAGTGTATCTGCCTGAGAGGCAAGGAACCAACAGTCTGCTTACAGATAAGACAGAACTATATAACTGATGTATACACAAAACTAAAGTTCAAAAACAAGACTAAAATCCAGAGGTGGACGAACAACCAGAACTTTCCACTGGAGTTTACTGCTGGTGAATGCAAAGAAGAAGAATTTGTTCTTCTTGTGCCTTCCAACGCCCAATAGAACATAGGCTCTCAAACAAGTTGTTCTATTCTTCCTAATTGAATCTCCCAACGTCCTCCCCATCTTTTAAATTTCACCCTCTAGCTCCCTTATCCATGTTTTGTAATTGTTGGACTTCCTTTATTTTTTTGGCCCCTGTGGGTTCCAGTGCAAAGACATTCTAGTTATATCATTCTTAGGTTTTCTCACAGTGTGTCCTATCCAACGCCAGCATCTTTTCTTCACCTCTCGGTCCACTGGAACTTGTTTAGTTCTATCCCAAAGCTCCGCATTAGTGATTATATCATATAATTTATTTCCTCTATTCTGTGCAGACACAAGTTAGTGAATGTTTGTAGTTTATCTTCATGTTTCCGCTCCATACTACAGTACTGATTTGACAGTAGAACTGAAAATTTTAAGTTTAGTGTTAATTTTAATTTCTTTTGACTTCCACAACTTTCCTAGTGCTCTGAAAGCTCCTCTTGCCTTTTGTTCATATTTTAATATCTCTATCAGTTCCCCCATCTTTTTCACTGCCCAAATAGATTTACGATTCCACTTCTTGGAGTGTGATACTACCAGATCTTTCCGCCAGAGTTTACAGCTGGTGAACGCGAAGAAGAAGAAGAAGATGTCTTCATATGCTGCCTTAAATAAGTTAATAATTTTCAGTGGGATTCCATAGTAGCCCATTAATTTCCAGAGATATTCCACATCATTGCTGTTGAAAGCTTTTTCATAGTCTAAAAATCCGATGTAAAGTGGTGAATTCAGTTCAATGCTTTGCTTCATTATTATACATAATGTGGCTATCTGGTCAGTACAGGATCTGTTTGGCCGAAAACCTGCCTGTTCATCTCTAAAAAAATTTCAATAGCATCTTTTAGTCTTTTCAAAATAATTCTGCTTAATATTTTTCCAGGAACTGACAGCAACATAATTCCTCTATAGTTTTCACACTCCTGTAGATCACCTTTTTTGGGCAGTTTCACAAGATATCCTTCTTTCCAGTCTGCAGGTATTTCTTCAGCCTCCTAAACTTTACTAAATGATCTATGTAGCAATTCTGTTGATGTGTTTATATTGGCCTTAATAACTTCTGCTGGGATACCATCTGGACCTGCCACCTCTTTTTTTTTCAGAAGATTTAATTTGATTCAAGAACCGACATCACAGCACTCGGGGCATTCACATGAGCGCTCAGCAGACAGGAAAGAGTTCCGATACTAATGGTGCCAGTAGCATTCTGATTAAACGTCCGTCTTGCCTTTCTTCTGAGCCTGGAGCATCTGCCAGAACCTCTCGTCCTTCCCCCTTGCATCAATCTCACCAGACTATGGTGATCCATCTGCTCCTCCGAACTTTACACGCTCTCCCACAAGGCACTAACCACGTCTGCCTTATCATGCATCAGTATTTCACCAAGATGTGCAGAGCCAGCCAATCTGTTCACCTGTTCATTTTCCAACACACCGCCATGCCCTGGTGAAAAAATCTAGACAATACTCCTCACCCGTGTTCTCCCCAGCGAGGCATGCCGCTCTGCACAAAGCATGCCTGTCCTGATCTTCCTCAGCTTGCTTTTTGAGTCAGTTACAATCACGATGTGTGTGTCGTGTACTCTAGCCAGCGGAAAGCTGCAGTGACCGCCTCCACCTCTATTCTTAAGCTGGATGTTGTGGTATCATATGCTAGGCTCTCTTACACCAAACGTTGACCATTAACTTTTGCTAAGAAACTCCAAGCACTTCTTTTGCTTCTTGACACTGAACCGTCTTTGTAAATGATCAAATCTTCTGAGCGAACATTACCTTGAATTAATTGGTGAATTTCCACCTCTATGGCACCTGCTGGCAAGTCTCTGCATTCCCGGCTCAGTGTGATTATGACCTTACACAAGTCTGACTGTTCAGGTGGCACTTTGACCCACTCCTCTCCTCGCCCAATGTTCTCAAAGATGCAAACCTGTCTGATTGTGTCTTCTTCCTTCAGAAGATTGATAGCTTTACTAATTTTTCTTTGGATGGCATCTCACAGTTGATATCCAGATCCATTTCCAAAGGCTAGATATCTAGAGAAACCTCTAGGGCTGGTCCATTCAGAAGTATTTCAAAATATTCATCCCATCTGTATATTTGATCTTTAGTGTTGGTGAGTACCTTTCCTTGACTATTTTTGATTGATACAATTGGCTGACTATAATTATTTATCTGTAAATTTCCTTATGTTACTGTAAAGGTCTCTGAGGTTCCCTTTTTTTTTTGCTGCTTTCTCCGCTTCTTGTGCCAGTTCGTCTAAATATTTCCTCTTATCTGCCCTTATTATTCACCGCTTAACTTCCTTATTAACTTCTGTGTATTTTTCCTGAGCTCTAGCTTTAGCAGCTCTAGTTTTGCTATTGTTTAAGTCTGCCTTTTTACTTTTCCTTTCTTCATTCATTTTAAGGGTTTCTGCTGTTATCTACACTTTACGTTTCCGTTCTTTCTTGCCAAGAACTTCTACACAAGATTCATTCCAAATTCACTTGATTTGATCCCAGCTTCAGTGCTTACTTCTTCATCTAACTGCTGCAACAGCTGGTACTTATTAGAGATTGTAACTGAAATTTATTCCTTCTTTATCCCTGAGATATCCTACTTTATACTGGTTTCTATGATTATAAGATGTTACATATCTTTTAAGCTTCAGCTTGATTTTACTTACCAACAGAAAATGGTCAGTAAATAAATCAGCACTTCTAAAAGCCCTAACATCGTAAAGGGATGATGAAAAATTTATGTTTATACATATGTAATCTATTTGATTGATTGTCATATGGTCTGGTGATTCCAATGTTGCCTTATGCATTCTTTTATGTGGAAACATGTTCCCATCAATAACATGCTGGTTTCCTGCACCCATCCCCCCACCCCCCCCCCCCCCCCCCAAAAAAAATGTGTCTAAGGTATAGTATATTTTTCTCCATGTAATCTGCAGACATCCTGTATTACTGAAAACAGGAAAACAAGATGGAAGTATTACAGACTGTCGTCCTGCTAATGAGTGTTATATGTGGCTGAAAGACTATTTCATGCACAAGGTGGCTAGTACAGATGTTCCGTCACTGTGCAGTTCTGTTGTAAAGAAAGGTATTGTATTTGAACATTATTTAGTTTATTGGACAAACCATTTGTCACCATATAATGTTTGCTTAGATATTTTTTGCACTCTGCATGTTACTAGATCATCTATAAAATCTAATTCCCGTGTGGGTTCTGGGGTCCCATTTTGGGAGAAAATAATAGACCCTCTGCCTCTTTTCACCGAGCATGTCATAAAAGGCAACTGATTAGGAGTGTTTCCTTCGAAGTCAGAGTGCATCTGTCTGAGAAGGATGGAACCAACAGTCTGCATACAAACAAGCCTGATCTGTAAAATGGATGTACACACAAAACAGTAAAAATTATTGAACGAGCTGACCAGTTGGCAAGTTTGCATCACTGCTTGGGAATGCCCAATGTGTGTTGACATTGATGGTTCCCTCCTGCTGCCCAGTTTACTTGCTTGATCACAGAAAGTTTTATGATTTTGCATTTATTAATTGTAGTAGTGAAGTTTCAGTTTAACACGTAGCATAAGTTGGTAAACAAAAATAGTTCATTTCGTCCTGAAAAGAGCTTGCATCTGTCAGAATGCTATTTTTCTCCTGACCTATTTCTAAGTACCATTTCCTTGGGGATTGTGTTGAATAGATCTCCCCACCTTCATGGGGGAAAGAGCAGGATCTGCAAGAAAGATACTTGAACTTCATATCTGCTAGAAAGATACTTGAACTTCATATCTGCTAGAAAGATACTTTAACTTCATATCAGCAAGAAAAATACTTGAACTTCATATCTGCTAGAAAGATACTTGAACTTCATATCAGCAAGAAAGATACTTGAACTTCATATCAGCAAGAAAAATACTTGAACTTCATATCTGCTAGAAAGATACTTGAACTTCATATCAGCAAGAAAGATACTTGAACTTCATATCAGCAAGAAAAATACTTGAACTTCATATCAGCAAGAAAAATACTTGAACTTCATATCAGCAAGAAAGATACTTGAACTTCATATCAGCAAGAAAGATACTTGAACTTCATATCTGCTAGAAAGATACTTGAACTTCATATCAGCAAGAAAAATACTTGAACTTCATATCTGCTAGAAAGATACTTGAACTTCATATCAGCAAGAAAAATACTTGAACTTCATATCTGCTAGAAAGATACTTGAACTTCATATCAGCAAGAAAAATACTTGAACTTCATATCTGCTAGAAAGATACTTGAACTTCATATCAGCAAGAAAGATACTTGAACTTCATATCAGCAAGAAAAATACTTGAACTTCATATCAGCAAGAAAGATACTTGAACTTCATATCAGCAAGAAAGATACTTGAACTTCATATCAGCAAGAAAGATACTTGAACTTCATATCAGCAAGAAAGATACTTGAACTTCATATCTGCTAGAAAGATACTTGAACTTCATATCTGCAAGAAAGATACTTGAACTTCATATCTGCTAGAAAGCATATTACAGTGTCAGCAGATCAGGATTCAACACCGCACATACACACTGAACGAACCAAGTTATTTACAAAAGGGTTTATCAATTTGGCCTGTAGGTCCATCTGACATTCAGCACTTGACCTCACTCCTTTCATACATTATTTCATTCATACATCTTTTACCAGGTAATAATAAACTGACTGAGATTAAGACAGTTTGGTGAGTTTTTTTAATTTCTTAGAGGTTTTCAGGTACGTTTTCTCTACATCCTCAGTATGTTCCATCCAGATCTTTGAACTTATACCAGACTGGATTTATATCAAAGGAATTATCCAAAAGAAATAAAAGGAGAATTATTCATTCGTTCCCATGGAAAAACCTATTGTTTTTGGCATATTATGCATTGATAAGTTGAATAAAATAATGCTTTGTGCAGAGTTGAAAGCATCACTTCAGAGGTTATGGGTAGTTAGCATCCTTTGGATTTTTTTCTCCAGGTCATTCCGGTCTGTTGGGAAATGAGCAGGCAGATAGACTGGCCGGCTCTGCTCCACTTGGTGGTGAATTGATGTATGACAAGCTAGATATTGTGAGGGCCCTTTGGGAACGGGTGAACAGTGCGGATGCGCAGATAGATCATTATGGTTTGAGGAGAATGGCGCTGCAAGGAGTTACCAGGGAATGTGGCTGACACTTAACACTAGGGAAAAGAAGGAGATGGATATACAATCAGATGGCTACTGGGGCCATCGGAAGTGGAACTCTTCACTTGCTGCTGAAGATGGGGGACGAAGCACTTATGGGAGTGTCCCAAGTGATGTAATGTCGATTCTTAATTCAACATAAAATAATGTAAACACTGCTAAATACAAAAATACAAAAAATGACCTTGCTGAGAAGAGTCAAGTGTCTACCAGGATGATGCTGAGAGGAGGAGGAGATATTGCTTGGAAGGAGACTCCACGTTTGGAACTGGTTGAGGCTCAGAAGTTCTAGCAGGCGACAAAGGTCCTATATCAAGCAATATTTTTCACATCTAAACAGGGTAGATGCTAATTTGGTCTTACAGAAAGTGGACGTATTCTGAGGTACCATTGTATTTCATTGTCTACTTACATCAGCCAAGGCTATGCTATGCTATCAGTGTCAAACATGGACACTGTCTCCAGAAGACAGAAGGAAAATAGTCATGACAGAAATGAAATGTTTATGTACTCTGCTAGGTGTAACAAGGGAAGGTTGACTTAGGAGCGACGATAGGAGGGGAGTCAGCACAGAACCAACACTGAACTTTATAGGTAAACAACAAATCCAATTGTTTGGCCATCTAATAAGATTAGCATCATCAGATTAGGCACCACAGAGTGTAACGTTGTACAGATACAACGGTAAGAGAAAAGAAGAAGAAAAAGACATACATCCACGCAATGCTCAGATGAAGTGAATTTTAGGTTTGTCAAATTATTGTTGTTGTTTTTAAAAAAAAATTTTTGTGTGTTTTAAAATAATTTTACCTGCTTTGTTTTTAAATTGTACTCTCCAGATAGTTTCTGTGCAAAAGCTTTACAGCAGCTACCCGAGGCAGCTCCGATAGGGAAAACCATTTCTTACAAAGATCTGGCCAGGTTGTGTGGCAATGAGCAAGCAAGTCGAGCAGCCGGCCATGCCATGGCTACCAACCCAATGGCTCTGCTGATCCCGTGCCACAGGGTCATCACATCGGCTGGGACACCAGGAAATTATGCTCATGGCAAGAAGAATAACACAAAGGTCTGGCTGTTGAAGTTTCGAGCAGGAAGCGCAAGTGAAGTGGGTGTAACTTGTACGGATCACCAGCACCTGTTTCTACAATACTCCTTCACTGATTTGTTTTTGTTAAACCTTTTTTTTTTTTTTTTTGACAAACATAATTTAGACCACCAAATTACTGTTTTTCTCAGATGAAAACTAAATACTTGCTGGTCTAAAATGGCCAACCATTCTTCTTTTAGTTTCTTTTGCTGTTTCACTGATATCAGGTTGTAGCCCAGTGTCTTGGTTTTCTGTATTTGTCTTGCGCTTCTTGGGTGAAGAATTTGTTCATCTTTTTTTGCAGATTTCAGCTACACTATTTATCCATCTCTTACCTGGTCTTCCTCTCACCTTCCTTCCATATCTTATGCTGTAAAATGTCTGATTTGCAGTTTTGTTTGCTGCATTCTCACTAGATGGCCGAACCATTTCTTTCTTTGTCTGTCAATATAATTCAGACAGTCTTATACCGTTCTCTCTAATGCTGGTATTCTTAACCCTGTCACCTCCTGCGTTGTTAGTGACCTTAACGCATTTCACAGGTAATTATTTCCTGTTCTAGTATCATATTGGGAGTCACCGTGGTGTAGCGGCTAGATGCTCACCTGCGGTTTTGGAAAGTCGTGGGTTCGGGACAGTTGAATATGTGACATGCTTGTGAATACCAGAAATGAATACCTTCCAGAAAAAGCTGTGACAGTCAGGGGCCATAAGTAAAGAATATGAGATAAAACTGTGTTGAACATTAAGTCCAGTCTAGCATCATGTGCCCGATGCGCCATTGGCCTGAAGAATGTCCTTTACCTTTTATTTTTTAATTTTATTTTAACCCTAATTTATTTTATACTATCTTATTTTATTCTTTGTCTTCTTTTGATTATTTATGTAAATTCAAAATGTCTGTTGCTACAGCACTGACTTCAGCTAAATATTCTTTAATGGTTTGGTAACTCAACTTCCTGCCAGTGATCTATAGTCTTCTTCTCATTCTACATTCACCCTTAACAGAGCAGTTGGCACATTGTGTTGTATTTACAGCTAGGCTGTGATATCTATGGCTTTTGGTCCAACACTTTCAATTTCTACAAATCCCTAATTAGTTGCCTTTTATGACATGCTTATTAAGGGGCAGTGGGTCTGTTTTTGTTTCAATTTAAAAAGGATCATATGGGGAAGATCTAGAAAAAAAAACTTTCCTCAAGTCTGAATTACCTTTCTTTTTGCAAGTAAAATGTAATAAATGACAACCACAACTGTGCATATGAAGAGTTCAATGGGTAATTTACTGAGAGAAAAAATTTCTCAAACTGCCATTGGAAAATTTGTGTGTGTGTGTGTGTGGGTAATGCATATTGCTTTCTGATTACAGTTGTGTTCTTTTCATTGTTAATGTTTTTTGTTTTTTAAATTTAAGTTTTTATACACAGTTGATAAATGTATACCTTTGTTATAGTTATAACAATCTTTACTGCTGATCTTGCTGTGTCCTGGTGTTGTAGTAAGGCAGTTGAGAAATTTATCACTGGTGAGACAGAGACATGCTTGAACATCCTGGTAGGAATGTGTTCTCTAAAACTGCACAAAAGAAATATCCTGCAATAATTTTGTTATATTACTCCAGTTAGAAGGGGACAACATCTGAGAATTACTAAATGAATTGCTTTTCGCCGATGACCAGGCAATCATAGCACCTAGAGCTGTACAGCTACAAGAACATATTCATAGTCTTCACTCAGAATGCAACAACTACGATATGAAGATCAACGCAGACAAAACAGAAGTGATGACATTCTCTAAAAAAGAAAGAACCACCAATATCAAATCTTAAACACCAGTTAAAGCAAGCAAAGGATTTTACATTCTTCTTCTTTCGTTCGCCTGAAATAAGTTGTCTATATGAGCAATTTTGTCTCTTGTATAAATTTCCCTGTCGTTGTTAGTTCATTCAGTGGGTGCATAAAGTTTACGTTCCACTGTTGTTCTTTCTGGCCAAAAGGTTCTGGAGTACAGGCTCTGCTGTCTAGGGCATATTTCCACAGGTGCACATGGCTGATACACCTATCTTGAATTTTGTGTACATAATCGGTTGTGCCCTGTTCTGAGGCGGAGGATAATGACTTGTTCTGATCTGTCCATAATAAAATAGTTGTCTTGTGCTGGGGCTGGTGGTTTCCTGATTGATTTAATTATTTCTTTTCTTTTGGTGGTATGTGACTGGTACATCCAGCTGCACTTTTATCGCACCTTCCCCTGCCAGTTGATCAGCTTTCTCATTTTCAGGTGCTCCACAATGTGACGGTATCCACTGCATTACGACTCTTCACTGAAGGCTAACTTGTGTCAGCAGTGTTTGCAATTCTGGTAGTTTCCTAGACTGGAGTGCTTCAAGTTAGGGGTCCAAATGGAGCAATGATGCACAATACAAGACTCTTAACGTCTATTAGCCCCTCTTGCTCAAGCTTACCTCACCTTCACGTGGTGGACCCTGTTCTTCCCAGCAATCCAGTTCAAGGTTTGGATCTCAACCCCCAGCGGGAAACTGGTTGGGACAACAAACGAGGTAAAGCAAAAGACGAAGGGATGAGCCTACTCTCCTCGAGTATGACCAGTCTACCCTTGCAAAACAAGGTGCTGAAGTTGGAGGTAACCAGCCAGGAGGTGCACCATAACATTCAGGATACCACGCACACATGCCATGGATTTTACATATATAGGGAGCATTGTTTCAGAAGAGGAAAGAATTAATAAAGAAATTCAGCAAAGATGCAATAAAGCCAATCAATGGCACCAATTTGGAATGCAAGTATATGAATATGAACACTAAAAAAACACTGTTTAACACAGCATTCTTATTAACACTATGCTATCAATGTCAAACATGGACACTGTCTTCAGAAGACAGAAGAAAAAGAGTTACGACAGAAATTAAATGTTGACGTACTATGCTAGGTGTAACGAGGAAAGATCAACTTAGGAAAGATGATATCAGGAGGATAGTCAGCACAGAATCAATACTAAACTTTATAGGTAGACAACAAATCAAAAGGTTTGGCCATGCAACAAGATTGACAGCAGACAGGGAACTACAGAGAGCAATGTTACACAGATACAGTTGTAACAGAGCTAGAGGTCAACCACACAGAATATGTGAATATCAGAGACACTGAAAAATACTTTATACGAAGTGAACAGAAGGGTCCTGTTCCAGAGATCTATGTCCTAACGCTGTGAGTCATTCCAGGAGTAGAGAAAATAAGAAGAAAAAGACTCTAATTAGTTGTTGTGTGTGGACTCATGGTGACAAAATGTGACCCGTATGGCCCCCAGTGGACCTTCAGTTGTGACAAGCATGATCTAGAGCAGGCATGTCAAACATGTATATTCGCTGTTTAAGTAATGCACCAATATTTTATTAATTATGGCCGTTGTTCCTTTAGTGGTCTGCTGGTAAGACAACATCCAACAGTCCCTGACTGAGGACTGGAATGGAATATAGCCAGAAATAAAACTGACAGAGAAGTCTGGCAATCTCTTTGGCAAACCCCTACACCACAAGGTAGAAGAGGAGCGAGTAAGTGAAGTTCCCATAGTGCATCGACTGTAAATAATTTGGGACAGAAAGAGTTAAGGAATTGTGTGCGTGATGAATTGATCTAGGCATTTTCCACGCACTCTAAAGGTTGTGGGTTTGTTTCCAGTTCTTGGCAGCACATTTTTCAGAGACCCCTGAGGGTCATCACAAAGTTTGTACTTTGTCTGGCATGCTCTACTACAGGGCTATTCAACTAAGTTTACTCAGGGGCCAGATGCCCGAGCCCCGGCAAAGAAAGATCACTGATGTAATAGAACTGGCAATTATCCGTGGGCCACTTACTAGGCCTCCAGAGCCAGATTTGGCAAGCGGACCGCCAGTTGAATAACCCTGGTTTACAAGCTAGCAAACCACTCTGCAGAGAAAGACCTAGTTAGAATAATCCCTGCCACCAGACAGTTCAACACAGAGGACCCTGTCACTCAGACACAATAGAAGTAGAGCAACACAGATGGTCCTGTCACTCAGACACAATAGAAGTAGTTCAACACAGAGGGCCCTGTCACTCAGACACAATAGAAGTAGAGCAACACAGAGGACCCTGTCACTCAGACACAATAGAAGTAGAGCAACACAGATGGTCCTGTCACTCAGACACAATAAAAGTAGTTCAACACAGAGGGCCCTGTCACTCAGACACAATAGAAGTAGAGCAACACAGAGGGCCCTGTCACTCAGACACAATAGAAGTAGTTCAACACAGAGGGCCCTGTCACTCAGACACAATAGAAGTAGAGCAACACAGAGGGCCCTGTCACTCAGACACAATAGAAGTAGTTTAACACAGAGGGCCCTGTCACTCAGACACAATAGAAGTAGAGCAACACAGAGGGCCCTGTCACTCAGACACAATAGAAGTAGAGCAACACAGATGGTCCTGTCACTCAGACACAATAGAAGTAGAGCAACACAGATGGTCCTGTCACTCAGACACAATAGAAGTAGAGCAACACAGATGGTCCTGTCACTCAGACACAATAGAAGTAGAGCAACACAGAGGGTCCTATCACTCAGACACAATAGAAGTAGAGCAACACAGATGGTCCTGTCACTCAGACACAATAGAAGTAGAGCAACACAGATGGTCCTATCACTCAGACACAATAGAAGTAGAGCAACACAGATGGTCCTGTCACTCAGACACAATAGAAGTAGAGCAACACAGATGGTCCTATCACTCAGACACAATAGAAGTAGAGCAACACAGAGGGTCCTATCACTCAGACACAATAGAAGTAGAGCAACACAGATGGTCCTGTCACTCAGACACAATAGAAGTAGAGCCAGTTTAACACAGAGGGCCCTGTAACTCAGACACAATAGAAGTAGAGCCAGTTCAACACAGAGGGTCCTGTCACTCAGACACAATAGAAGTAGAGCCAGGGGTTAACCATGTAAGCGATGGATAGATGGAAGGAACAGTCGAGGTCGTAATACCAGCATCTATGTAACACACAGCAAGACAGCAGGGCTCTCACCCGAGGCCTCTTTAAAACCAGACGCTGAAAGGCAGAACAGCGCTAAAGAAGAAGTGTGCTTTTATTTTTCTATGACATCAAAA